GTTGTGTGTTGTGTGTGTGTGTGTTTCAGCTGCAGAGTGTGGAGGGGTAAAGGTGACCGTGGGAATGAGTGTGTGCGGAGCCGGCGTGAGTGTGGTTGTTGGAAAGTGTGTGTGAAAGAGCGCAGGTGTGTTTGTGAGTCTGTGTGTGCTTTGAGGGTGGGGTCAGTGTGGGCTTGTGAGTATGATGGAGAGGCTCGCTGTGTGTGTGCCTATGCAAAAGCTGGCATGACAGTAATGGGATGTGCGCATGTCAGGGTGAGCGTGTGTGTGTCGAGGTGACTATTTGTGTTGGCCTGTGTATACTTGTCAGGGTGCCTGTCTCTGTTGGGGTGTGTGTGTACACGCGTGTTGAGGTAAGGGTAGCAGTGCACAGCCGGGTGTGTGTGTGCACACAGGTGTTGAGGCGAGGGTGCTGTGCGGAGCTGTGTGTAAGTGTGGGTGACCCTGTGCCCATGTCAGGGCATACCCAGGTGTGACTGTGAGCCTGTGGGTCCACGTTGGTGACTGTCCAGGGAGGATGGCCAAGTGTGTGTGTGTGGTGGGACCGAGTGCACTGCAAGGGCGGCTAGGTGAGGGTCTGGCGACCCGGGTGGTTGGAGATTCGAGGGTGACCCTGAGAATCTCACTGCGTCTCTGCGTGTCTGGGGTGCCCCTGCTGTCCCCGCTCCAAGCCTGGAGGGGCAGGCAGGGGTGCCCACAGCAGGCACAGGCCCTGGCCCCAGAGCTTTGGGGATGAGATTCCCAGGAGACCCCAGCAATAGGGGGACATCAGGAGCTAATGGAGGGGCTGTGGGCAGGGGCTTGGGCTGGGCAGTCACAAGGCCATGGCTTGGGACAGAGAGGAAGACAGCTGTGTGGTCTGGGTGGCCAGAACAGCCAGTGGGAGGAGAGGAGGGGGTCCGACCCACTCCATAGCACCCTGCCGCCCCCAGCGTTCACCCATGTCCTCGGGGTCAATCGCCAAGCTCTCAGGAGCATCAGGGTCTCAGATAAGCCCCAGGAGCCGTCCAGGACAGTGACATCATGTGCCCAGCCCAGATGCCAGGCCAGCGTGGCAGGTAAAAGTACAGACTATGAGCTCAGACTGGCCCTGCTCGAAGCTCAGTCGCTGGGCACCCTGGAGCAAACACATTCACCTCTGTGCCTCGGTGGCCACACGTGTGAGATGAGGAAGTAACAAGGGTGCGACCCTAGCCACCATGGAAGGACTAGAGATGGCTGTGCAGGTGGAGCCCTTGGCCTGACGCCTGGCACAGAGTAAGCGCTCAATAAATACAGGATTATTGCCAGCCTCGCCCTACTTCCCCGTTGGGCCTCCCCATCCCCCAGTGTCCCAGAGCTGCCCTAAGCACCTGTGACACGTCATCACACAGGCCAGTCCCACCCCAGCGCTCCCTGCCACAAACTCCCGGCTCCCTTCCTGTGCCCCTCCCTGGCAAACACAGACACCCATCCCATGCTGGCCCTGAGCTGCCGGCTTCCATCATTTACCCCTCACCATGAGGGGATTAGCTAGGGATTCAGAGAAAAGCAAGTTTATGGTTCTAACTTTCACTAAGGTGTGAGCGACTGATAGAGCATATTCTCCCAAGGCAGACACAAGTTCAAAAGGGAAAGTCCCCAAAGCCTCCAGCCAGCTGTGTGGCCAAGGAGGCAGGGACAGGTTCTCTGGCCTCCAGCCAGATTTTCATTCTGTTCTTTTTCTCCCACAAAGCCAGCACTGGGGTGGACTTGTGCACAAAGCCAACTGGATTGTCTTCTAGCTTTGTGACTCAGGGCATGTTGCTGCCTTTCTCTGAACCCTCAGTGTTCTGATCTGAGAAATGGAGGCAAACAATGCCTTCTGAGGGTTAGGCCTGGAACCCAAGATCCCAGAGGTCCAAAGCAGAAGCCAGATTCCCATGGGGCCAATGGCCTGCCCTGCCTGGGGGTGGAGGCAGGAGGCGGTGAGGAACTCAGGTTACCTGGAGTGCCTTACCCTTCAGGAGGCCAGAGAGAGTGGGTCTTGGGGCCAGCCTGACCCTTGGGGACCCTGCAGCAAAGTCCTGATTCTAGGCCCTGTCTGTCCGGTGTGGGAATAGGCCTAGGAGGCCCAGCCCACCTGCTTCCTGCCTGCTCCCCTCCCGGGGCAGTGACATCTGCCGCAACTGGCCTCTGACCCCACATCCTGTCTCAGTCCTGCCCAAAGGCCCCATTTACAGGGACTAAGGTATGCAGGCTGTGACCCACCCAGCCACTTTACAGACAGGGAAACTGAGGCTCAGAGAAGGAAGTGACTTGCCGGAGACCTCCCAGAGCTGGGGCAAGGCTCCAGCCCCCAGCAGGGTGCCATAGGCTGGCACACACTTTGTGCTTGGAATTCGGACAGAGGGAAAGGAATCTGATTTGTGTCAGCCTTATTTACTTTTCATACCCAGTTCCAACCACTGAGGGGTTGGAGTTGTGTCATTGATTCACTCTGCAAATTTCCCTGGGCTCCATGGTGAGTGTCGAGCCCAGCCTCGAGCTGGCGATGCTGGGGCTCAGAGTGACCTCAGCCCCAAGCCTGACCCCCGAGGAGCCCTAGGCTGTGAGGGATGGAGCCAAACATGGAGGGACGCCCCTGCCTCAGGAGTCAGGGCTGGGCCAGAGGGAGGCCCAGGCACTGGGAGGACCCAAGGGGGTGGCGAGGGCTCTGCCCAGGGCAGGCGCTCCGGGGGCAGGGGCATTGGCTGGGTTGGAGGGTCAGTAGGAGGAGGGCGTGCTGGGCAGTGGGCAAAGCACAGCCTGGTGGTCGAGCAAACCAGCTCTGGAGTTGGTCTGACCAGGGTTCAAATCCCCATCTGAAGGCCTTGGGCAAGTCCCTTCCTCGCTCTGGGACTCAGTTCACCCTTCTGTGACACAGGGCTTCAGTGAGACAGTATTTGTACTGTGCCTGGCACACTCGAAATGCTTCACAGCCCCCTGCCCACCTTATCCCAGTCCCCACATGTTGTTTTCCAATCGTTGCCATAAAAAGTCATCAAAACCCCAACCATCTCTACACTGTGCCTGCACACAGTTGGCACCCAGTGAATGCTGCCCCCGACAGGTCTGGAAGGAAGGCAGGTGGATGGTGGGTCAGGCAGCCCTGTCTTTAAGGAAATTGGCTTTTCTCAGTCAAGGCAGAAGTTGGAAAGCAGCCGCCGGGGTTCTCAGAGACCACCACATCAGGGCTTCCATTTTGCAGATGGGGAAACTGAGGCCAGAAGAGGGGACAGGGGTCATACAGCTGGGATTTGGAGTCAGGCTTCCCGGCTCCCTGCCTGGAGGTCAAGGTCAGGACCCACAGACCCTAACTTAGACCTGAATTGCTGCCACCCTCCCCACTCCGCAGCTCAGTGGAAGGACACTCAGCGGCCTGGAGATGAGAAGCTGTGTGACTGCCTTGGGACAGGGGCTCTTTTAAGAATTTGTGCACACATGCACACACACTCACAGCACCTGGTACATTTTGCACATCATCTCAGGTGTGAACGTGTAAGCCAGATCAAATTCAGAGCCTGTTCTAGAAGCTGCAGGCACAGCAGCTTTTGTAGCATACTCTCTTCGGGAGAGAGGAGAAGAAAGTCAGGGATGCAGGAAAGCCGGCCTGGCAGGAGGGCCTGTTCAGAAGAAGTGGGTTCAAATGCTGCGCTGTGTGACCTAGGGACAATCACTCCACCTCTCTGGGCTTCCTGCTCTGAGGGGGAAGCAGGAAGATGAAGCAGGGCTCAGTGGGGGCTGCATGCCCACCCTAGGAGCCTGGTCAGGACCAGGGGTCAAAGCATCTGAGAAATAAGTCAGATCAAGCCAGCATGAGCTGGACTGACCACCTCAGCCCAGAGGTAGGGGCAGGGGAGGGAGGTGCAGCCTGGGGGTGACCCGAGAAGAGAAGAGAAGGCTTCCTGAGCTGACCCTTGGCTGGTGTGGTGGAGGGTTGGAGATGGAGAGGTGAAGGCGTCTGTGGTTTGTATCCCATAGATCTGAGCTTCTCAAATTGAGCGTGCCGGTAGCCGGGCAAGACTCTGAAGATAAACAAAGAGGACTGAAAATCTGAGGAATGAAGGGATATTTTGATTAAAATGAACAGAAGCCAGATGTGCAAGAATTTAAAAGATTTAACCCGAGCCTTCAAAGAAAGTGGTCTTTGGGGGGAAGCTCTCTTCTAGCCAAGCCCCCAGAGTCCAGGAGGTGGGGGAAATCCAAGCCCTTCAATCCTTGAGGGTATTTTGTGACAGTCTGAGAACCGCTGTCTTGGGCAATGGGGAGCCATGGCAGGTTCTAGGCAGGGAGAAGGGAAACATGCACTTAGAAAGATTCTCTGCCTGCCAGTGTGCAGGCAGAACTAGAAAGGGATAGGCTGGGGATAAGGGGTGGTCCAGGCCCAGAGTATGAGACTCCCCTTTTTGCTTAACCCCAGACCACGGGGAGGGGCACCCCTGAAACTGGGATGCAAAACTGAACGTGTGTTTCTGGGAAACGTGTCGGGACTTGTTTTCCCAAAAGCTGTAATCCATTCCGCAAGAGTATTGGGGGACCCCCAAAAAACATAAGCGCAGCTGGTCCCAGGACAGGAAGGGATGTGAAAATCACATTAACAGGTAGCATATATGGAGTGGTGCATAGTATTGTTATCCCTGTTTTACAGATGAGGAAACTGAGGCCCAGAGATAGAGAGGACTCTGTGAATGTGGGGGACACCCCTGCGCCCCGGGGACTTGGCCTCCAGGGTGACCCGTCCCCCTATCTGTCCCCAGGTGGAGGAGGAGCTGTCGCACCTCCAGAAGAAGCTGAAGGGGACGGAGGATGAGCTGGAGAAATACTCCGTGGACCTGAAGGTCGCGCAGGAGAAGCTGGAGCTGACGGAGAAGAAAGCCTCCGACGTACGTGCGCAGGAATGGGGGCACCCGCGGCAGGGCCAGGCAGGAGCCCCGGGGCCGGGCGGGAGGGGAAGCGCCAGAGGAAGAGGAGGAGGAGGAGAAGGCGGTGCCTCCCGGCGCTTTCTCCAAATAAGTCCAGAAAAGGGGCACTTTCCAGCAGCTGCAGCCAGCGGTGCCGACGTCAGGCCCTCCCCCAGAGGTGCTGACGTCGGCGGCCGGGTCGGGTGACCTCATCGCCCGGACGGCCGCCGGGCCGGGGGCGGGGAGAGGCGGGGTCGGCCCCGGCGCAAGCAAAGGCTAGGGGCCGGGGCGCGGCAACTGCAGCTCTCGCAGGAGCCGAGCCGAGCCGAGCCGAGCGCCCGCCGCTGCCCGCCGCCCGCTGCGTGCGCCTCCGCGCCATGGCCGGCCTCAACTCCCTGGAGGCGGTGAAACGCAAGATCCAGGCCTTGCAGCAGCAGGCGGACGAGGCGGAGGACCGCGCGCAGGGCCTGCAGCGGGAGCTGGATGGCGAGCGCGAGCGGCGCGAGAAAGTGAGAGCCCGCGCCCGGCCCCGTGCGCCCCCTTTCTTCCCTTCTCCCCGCCCGCCCGCCAGGAGCCCGCCTTCGCGCCCTCGGGCCCCGCCACTCCCGGATCGCGGCCCCGCACCCCTCCGAGCCGGCTGCTTAGACCCCTTCCTCCGCCGCCATCCTCCCTCCTCGGCCGGAGACGGGGGACGGGGCGCAGTATCCGGGTCGGGCGGGGCTGGCCCAGAAGGAAGTGGGGGGATGGGGCCGTGGGGGATGCGCGATCCCGGAGTGGGGAGAGGGTGGGGGCACCGCGCCGCCATCCGACTCGGGGCTGGCGCCGGGGTCCGGGGCGGGGTGGTCCACGACTGGACCTGGGAGTGGGAAGTGAGAGTGGAAACATTGAGCTCCCATTGTCTGGGGTTGGAGTGACCGACACGGACTGGGGGCGGGGGGCGTCGCACTTTCTCGCCTCTTCCGCGGCTTCCCGGCTCCGGTTGAAACTTTCCCAGCTGTTCCCAGGGGCGCGGCAGCGACGTGTCTGCCCCGGGAGGGGGGCGGAAGTTCAGCCCGGAGCCGCTGGCTTTGCCCTCCCCAGCTGGTCCTTGCGGGAACCAGGGCCACGGGACCCCGTCTTCCTCCAAGAAGACCCTTGGAGCGTTAGTACGGGGCCCTCGACCCTGTGTGCCTCCCCACTGCATGTCTCGGGGCCTGAGGCAGATAATGGGGCTGAATGAGGAGGGGACCTCTCCGCCCTCTCTCCATCCCCTGACTGTCCCTCGGGACGGGACAGAGGGTGGCAACCCCTGGGGCTGGGGAGAGATCTGGATTCTAATCCCATCTCGTCACACTTGGTACTTAACCCCTAGGAGCATGTCTCCCTATCTGTAAAGTGGGGGTGACAGTGCCGACCTAGGATAGCGGGGAGGGTCCCACGAGTAAAACTCTGCATGGCATCAGGCACATACTAGGTGCTCGATTGGTGTTTTTCCCTCCCCTCCCTCCACCCCCAGAAAAGCTCACAGTCTAATTGGGGTAGGAGGCTGATCAGTCTTCCAGGGGTTTTCTGTGCTCTGTTATGAGAACGTGACGTTGAAGCAGCCAACCAGTGGGGTTGGCTTCAAAATGGAGGTTGAGGAGGGTCTTATAGAATAAATAAGAGTTTGTTGGATTAAGAGACCTGGGTGTGCAAAGACTTAGAGGCAAGACAGTTGGGGGAGAGGGTGGAAGCCCAGGCCCCTGAAAGCTGGAGCCTTGGGACCTCCACCCCAGAGTGGAAAAGATACCTGGCCAAATGGAATTGCCATGTGTACTGATGGGTCTGGGGAAGAGCCCCAGAGTGCCCCGTGCTGTCCTGAGTCTAAGCCTTTACTCCTGTAAGGGCTGCTCTGGCAGTGAAGAGGCCTCAGAAACCCAGTGTAAGCCTCCAACAGTAGCTGGTTTGGCCTCTTTCATACACGTAACCGGCACAACCCTCCCTGTGATCTCATCCCAAGTCAGTTCGCTGGAGGACAATTACTTCTGCTTAAAAATGGCCCTCAGCCGCTAGCCAAGACTTAGGAGTGGGACAGTCCAGTTGTGAGGGAAGATATTTTTGGAAAGTTTCGGACTTCTTTTTAAAAGTTCACTTTTTAAAGCATGATTCTCGTGGAGAGGAAAGAGAAAAGGCTGAAGAAGTTCTTGGGCAAAGGAATTGAGCCCCAGGGAAAAAAACCTTTCTCAGTCTCTTGTAGAGAAAGCCAGGAGCCGGCGTGTGGCAAACTTCTGGGTCTGCCTCCCGACAGCTGGTTTCATTTAGATTTTTGTGTGATTAACCGACATCTTCCTGTTCCTTTGCCACATGTATCTAGCAAGCCTCTTTTACCTTATAAGGGAAATCCTTTGTAGAGTGTAGAAGCTTTGATTGCAGGAAGGGGTGGAGCCCAAAATGACTAGCAGTTTTTCAAAAAACGTATGTATGGATGTCTGTACATAGATGTATGCATCTCAGAGTTCTGTTGCTTCCTGACAGTTGAAAAAAAATGTGCCAAAATCGTGGTTGTCAGGATTCAGAATTCCCCACATAAGCAGCAGCTCACGTTTTTTTAAAGACAGCTCATCAATCAGTCACCTCTGTATGATCTTAAAAAGTAATTCCTTGACTGCCAGTGGGTATGGGGTTTATTTTGAGGGGCAACCAACATGTTCTGGATTTAGATAGTGGTGCTGGTTGCACGATTTTGTGAATGTACTAAAAACTATTGTAGAAAAAAAATCAATTCCTGCCCCAGTTGCTGAAGAAGTTGAGATTCATATCATTAAAAAGAATAAAAGATACCCACTCATTGGAAGGAGTAGGTGACATTACTTCAAATAGTTCATCAGTGGTTTTGATGGATTCTCCAAATTAGTGTTTCAGAGGAGTTGCAGTCAGAAACACCTGTGGGAGTTTCCTCTGTCTGCTGCTAGGACTGTGAGCTGAGAAAAGTTTCCTGATTCTCTGTGTTTTTCTGGCCTCATTCTAGTATTCCATTTTTGCCTATAAACTCGGCATAGCAGAGGGAGCGGTTTCCCATTCATTTTTACGCCTTCCCCAATTCGGAGGTTCTTATGTGTCTTGATAAGAAGAAGCCAGTGTGGCTCTACCTGCGCCTTCCCTTCCCCCCTCTGTTGGGCCCCATTTTCACCAACTCTCAATATCCCTTCCTAAATGTGCTGGCCTTGAAGCCCCCACAGGACTCGGGTGGTGGATTCAGAAAGGGAAGAGCCCTGGGCTGGGGCTCAAGAGGCCGTTTCTCACCAGTTCTGTGACACTGAACAAAACTACTTCACCTAGCTGGGCCTCTCGGGTTCCCCATCTGTAAAATGGGTGAGATATGCAAGGATTACGTGAGGTGAAATCATGGCAGTGAGAGCTGCTCTTTTGTGTGACTTCCCACAGTGCCAGGCACAATGCCACGCCCTTCAGTTAGTCCTCACAGCTGTGTGAAGTAACCAGGTGCTGGGAGAGAGAGGCTCAGAGCCAAGGCCACATGGCTACAAACTGGCCAAGTGGGGATTCTCACCCAGCACTTTTGATCCTGGATGGAGTTCTTGCTTTTATGCATGCCATCATATGACCTTCTTTGTAGGTGAAAACACCTTGAAAAGCCAGTAACGCTGTTCAGACATCTCTTCCTTGCCTGTAACCAGATTTTCTTTCCTTTCTTATATCTTTTTGTCCTGTCACCTCTCAGCCAGACTTAGTTAAAGATGGTGCTCCGGGGCTGGCCCAGTGATGTAGTGGTTAAGTTCCCGTGCTCCACTTCGGCGGCCCTGGGTTTGCAGGTTCGGATCCCCGGCACGGAACTACACACCATGCTGTGGTGGCGTCCCACATACAAAATAGAGCAAGATGGGCACAGATGTTAGCTCAGGGCTAATCTTCCTCAGCAAAAAGAGGAGGATTGGCAACAGATGTTAGCTCAGAGTTGGTCTTCCTCACCAAAAAAAAAAAAGATGGTGCTCTGACTGGGCTGCCCCTCCCTCCACCAATTGTATAGCCAACATTTAACTGAGGCTTCCATGTCCTTGCATTTATCTTGCCATTCAGGTGACTGGGAGCAGAGCTTATTATGTGACAGGGTGAGCCAGGTCACTGGTGGCCCTCTCTCTAGGAATCCCACAGAGAGGCCAGCACTGTGCTCTCACAGCCTACAGTGTACCTGTTCTCTTCCATGTTGACCTGAGCGCCCATCCTATACTGGGACACACACCTTTGTTGTTGAGCAGCAGATGTTCCCTTACGTTTTCGGGGAAGATCATGAGGAAAATTCACATTCTCCAGACAAGAGAGTGAATTCCTTACTGCCTGGATTCCTGGGTGGGCTTTGGAGGGGGATGCATAGTAGCTAAGGGAAAGGCGCCATGTGAGTGGGGGGCTCCCACTGCTGGCTGGCATGTTACTTCTTAACCTGGCTACACCTCTGACCTCCCCAGGCCGAAGGGGATGTGGCAGCTCTCAATCGACGCATCCAGCTCGTTGAGGAGGAGTTGGACAGGGCTCAAGAACGACTGGCCACAGCCCTGCAGAAGCTGGAGGAGGCAGAAAAGGCTGCAGATGAGAGCGAGAGGTAAGGACACTTCGAACCCAGTGGCATTAGCGTTTGCTTCTGGGAAATGGGGATCATACCGTACAGAGCTGGGGTGAGTAAATGAGATCACACAGACATGTGCATGTGCACATACATACAGACGTGTGATGGCACCTTCTAAGCCATCACGCTCTGTGTAGATGTGTTTGTCATTGTGATGGTTACGAAGAAAAACTCCCAACAGGCAGAGGAAGGCAAAATGGGCAGATGTGAGATGGCAAGTGTGACTGTCACTGGGGATCAGTGGCAGAGCGCTGCTTCACGTATTCTCTCTGAAAGCCACTGCGCATCTCATCAGTGTTCTCCAGACATCGGTTTCCAGGGTGATGTGAGAAGGGGGAGATGAAAACATGGAATGGGCCACCTGCACAGATAATTTGTTAACAGTGCTGTCGGGCAGGCTTTGGGCTACTGGACAACTGTATGTCAGGAACACATGCAAATCAGCACCACTAATGTACTTGCAACTGACAGTGCTCCTCACTTCCGTGGCATGAGCACTGCCTCCAGCAGGCTGCCATGTCCTCTAAAGCGGGGTAATTCCTTGGCACAGGCTCTGGAAGACTGAGGGCAGATTGTGTAATTCACAGAAGCAGCCGTCTCTGTGGTTGGTAAATGGGTTCCTTGTGTGGTAATGGTGTGGGCTGGGCCAGTGGCCATTGCATATCTGCCACACGATCACACCAGAATTCTCATTTGACCCATCCACCATGGTCTTCTGGTATAAACTCCCCCAGAGGATTCATTCCTGATTGTACTCTTGTGACCATAAACTGGAGATTAAAAACGAACTGGGGGATCTTGGAGACTGACTTTTCAAGTTGCCCATGTGGGAAATTTCTTCCCGGGCAGGGGAACAGCCCATGCCGAGGGCACAGACCCCAGTGCAAGCTCTGCTTCAGCCACATAATAGAGGGAGAGGGTGGCAGCTCAGGGCAGCCACGGGGGAGTGTGAAGGATCCAGTCACAAGTTGCTCATGGCTGTGCCTGGGGTGTGGATTAGCTGCTGCTCATGTTCACTGTCAGACCAGCCTGGCTGGATGTCTCACTTCCAGGACCTCCCCGTGACAAAACCGGGGAGCCTGGGAAAGCTTCTCACTTGTTTGTATCCTGTCATCAGGGGCTTTTGGTGACACTCTTGTTGGAGACTGCTGTGTTTTGGTAGAAAGAATTCTATACTGGAGGATCTAGATTCAAGTCCTTCCACTACGTGGCCATGGGCAAGTCACTTTGATCTCTCCAGTACTGCAGAGGGTTTTCTAGGCTTGCTCCCATGCTGATCTTGAGGCCTTGTACAAGTGTGGAGGGTGTTTTGACAGTTAACTGAGCATGGTAGTGACAGCCCGAATGGAAGTATTTATTAGACAGCAAGAAGTGTGTGGTCCTCGGCTCTGGGCAGGCACGACACACACAGATAGGTTGTCCTGGGTTGGCCTCTCCTTTGGAAGTATCTGATCTTACCTAGTCCACTCCAAGCAGTACACACCAGAGTGAGCTCATTTCATGCTCAGCCAGCTGAGTTGTAGGAGACTTCTAGCTGTCCCTAGGACACCGTCCTTTCCAAATTGGATGCATCCACTTCAGTTCAGACCCTCCTCACCCCTCACCTTGTGGTACCTACCTCTTACCTCTTACCTTGTCTTCCCACTGCAGTCCCTCCATCATTCTGGTTTCCACTCACTCCTGTTTTTGAAACCCTCCTGTGGTTCCCTCTCCCCTTGGCATAAAACCCTTAGTTTGTCATTCAAGTGTACAGCATATGCTCCAGCCACCCTGACCTCCCTGCCATGTTCCTTCATTCCTCTAGGGCTTTCTTGTGCATGTCTCTCACTGAAGAGTAACTTTCCCCTCCTTGTTCTCTTGTGGACTCTCTTCTAGAAAGCCTTCCATGACAGAGACACACCCCCCCCACACTGCAGCAGAATTCATCATTCCCACAGCCGGGCTGGCCCAGACCTCTAATCACATCGTGGTAACTGTTGACATACAAGTACTCTTTGTTACTAGTTAGTGAGAGGCTGTATAAATGGGAACACGGACTCTGGAGCCAGACCACCAGGGTTTGAGCCCCAGCTCTGCCACTTACTAGCTACGTAACCTTGAGCAAGTTACTTAGCCTCTCTGTGCCTCAGTTTCATCCTCTGAAATGGGGATAATGTACTTACTACCTCATGAAGCAGTTGTCAAGTTGAATGTGCTCAGAACAGTGCCTGGTGTTCAGTGAAGAGGAAGTGCACGTGAGCAGCTCTACAGTTTCCTCTTTGGAGTATGGTTCTTGGTAGACACAGAGAAGCGTTTAGATGAGCAGATGCACAGAGGTGTATGATGAGGCAGTAGTGTCTATGTGGCAGTAATGATGAGGTTGCTCCTTGCAGAGGAATGAAGGTGATAGAAAACCGGGCCATGAAAGATGAGGAGAAGATGGAGATTCAGGAGATGCAGCTCAAAGAGGCCAAGCACATCGCTGAGGAGGCTGACCGCAAATACGAGGAGGTGAGTGGGGCTGGCAGATGGCAGCAGCAGGAAGAGGGGAGGAAATGGATCTGTGATAGGGAAAACCCTGGGGCCGCCTAAAGGAAGCTCTTGGTTAGGTCAGCTGTCCTTCTGCATCCACATCTGTTTTTCCAGAGACAGCCACTTAGCTAGGAAACTCTATCTTCCACAGTGTCAAAAAGTCCTGGGGAATTCTGTGACACTGTCTAACTTGGTGGGGAAACCAACTGATCACATCACCTTTTGTCCAGCAGCTTTTGGCAAAGTTAGGCTAAAATTGGGAATTGTGGTGCCCAGCCATGGGTCTTCAGACCCTGAAAGCTCAGTGGCTCTTCTGCCTGCCTCCCTGGTCTCATCTCTTCCTTCCCCTCCTGTCTTCCTCACTCCTGGGGCCTGAGGATTTTCTCCAGGACCGTCGGAGTTGAAGCAGCAGCAGAAAGCCCCATGGTGCAGATGGTCTGGGTGCTGCCTTGCTGTCTGCATGGGGGAGGGCATCCCACGAGACACGGCTGTTGGGGGTCAGTCTCAGTCGATCCTTTCTGTTTCTGCAGGTAGCTCGTAAGTTGGTCATCCTGGAGGGTGAGCTGGAAAGGGCAGAGGAGCGCGCAGAGGTCTCTGAACTGTGAGTGGCAGAGCAGGACTGAGCAGAGCCCAGCTCAGCTCCTGGGGTGAAATGGGAGAGAGTTTCTTGTGTTGGGATTTGACTCCGACCAGGGCCTCTGGTCAAGTGGATGGGGGTCTGGGACTCATTGCTCAGTCGTTCCTCTTTGCCTCCATGGCTGACAAAGAGAGGTGGCAACTGTTTTTCTTGCTGCCCACGTATTGACTCTTCCCACAAAGGTATTAGGAAATAGGAGTGAGGCAGGTGGCAGCAGAGAAGCCTAGAAGTCTCATTCTCCCAGAGAGGATAGCTCATGAGGCTGTACCTTCTTACCAGAACACTGGCCTGTGGAAGGCAGGCTGCCCCCTCGGTGTTCAAATGCCTTGCTCCTGATGTCATTGTTTGTCCATGACATATTCCTGGGGGAAAGGTGAGAAGCATGACCAGAATCCTACAAGCTCCAAAATGTAAAGCCTCTCCCCTTGGCCTCAGGGGAGGAATCCAGCTCCAGAGAGCATCCTGCAGCACTGAGAGGGGTCTGGTTTCGCATATCCATTCCGAGCTTGCTTCCTGGAGTGTCCAGTGTAAACTCTGATTGCTTCCTGGAGTGTCCAGTGTAAACTCCCAACCTCCTGAACTCTATCCCATTCTTACACCTTCCAGAGTCGGCCTCATCACTCATGGATTTCAGAAGTCCCTGTTGCCTCAGCCTTGGTGGAAGTCCAGGAGTGCTTTACAAACCTTCCAAATGCTTCTCTGCCTGCCACGCCTTTGCCTGGCACGATAGGGTTTTGATAAGTACACAGCACTGCGTCTCAGAAAAAGCCATTAACATTTTTCCCACATTCCTTCTGGGGGCCCCAGGCAGCGTGGATTCCTCCTCTTGAAACCTTCTTTTAGGGGGATTGCTGCTGTAAGGGAGGATAAGACACAAATATCCTTTGTCTTTGTGCAGAAAATGTGGTGACCTGGAAGAAGAACTCAAGAATGTCACTAACAACCTGAAGTCGCTCGAGGCTGCATCTGAAAAGGTTGGTGGTTGGCTTCAGCTGGAGGGTGATTTGCTGGGCTTTTTTCTTTGCTTCCTCCAAGGGACATGGGAGCATGCCAGGGTATCAGGGATCTGACCTCTATTTGCTAACAGTAGCATCGGTGCCCAGCAGCTAGGTTTTTTTGCCCCCACAGAAAGAGGTGTCGGTGGCTAGATTTCCCTCTTCCATGGGGTCTCAGCACCATCTTTTAACTCCACCTCCTGTGAGGGTGGTGATGGAATATGAGATTGGTACCTGGTCAGGCTCCTCTTGGGGAGATCTGAGCATAATCGTCTAAAACAGAGCCTCACTCTCAACTAAATCCCTTGGTTCCTCCAAAAATATCTTCTCAAAGGTTGAGCAGCAGATATCAGGGTGGAACTGGACTTTTTATGTTGAAACAGTACCCAAAGCAGTCCCTCCAGGAGAGAACCACATTAGAAACAATGTACACTCTTCCATGGACAACCCGGCTGAATTCTGCATCCTCATCCTCACTCTCCCTCCTCCCGCTACCCTCCAGTTGCATTGAACTTAAGTTTCACAAACATTCCATGTTCTCTAGTCACCTCCGGTTCTTTGAACCTGCTGTCCAATCAAGCCTGGAGTGGCCTTCCCTTTTCTCTTTGATAACCCCCTATTCATCCTTCAGGCCTCTGCTTAAACAGCACTCTTTCTGAGGCCTAACCTGATTTCTCATCTAGGTTAGGTGCTTCTCTGCTGTACCTACTCTTTTCCTATCATGATGGCTGATCACATTTATCATAATTACACAATTAATACATGCCTTCCTTGCAAGACTGTAAACTTTAAGGACAGGGACTGTATCTCTCTTGGTTAGAGCTGTGTCATTAGTACTAGCATCCTGCTGGTAGATCTTTGATACAGGATATTTGATGAATAAATACAGTCCACGTGTGCATGCAAATGCTGCCCTGGGCCACAGGGATAGGTGTTACAGTGAGAGTATGGCTTCTGCTCTTGTGAGAGCTGAGAGTGTAGGTGAGGGGAAGAGACTGACAAAGTAACGAAGTGCTTTGGCACCTCAACAGAGGGACTTTGGGAAGTTGAGAAAGGTACAACGAGGAGGTGTTATCTACATAGGCTGTAGAGCACGATGATGATCAGGAGCTCAAATTCCAGAATGCGGTTCCAGTCATGGCTTAGTCACTTCATAGCCATGTGAGCCTAGACAAATTACTTAACTTCTCTGTGGCTCTTTACTCAACTGTAAAGTGGGATTAAGAATATCTAGCAACAGTAAGAAGTTAATAAAAGTTAGCTTATATTAATCTGAGTTAAGCCTTGAAGGACAAATATAATTTCTGAAAGGTAGTAATGGGGAAAGGAACATTCCACGCTGGGGGACTCATTCATAGTCAAGGGCTGGGAGACTGGAAAGTACACAAAATAGGTTGAGAAAATGGCCAGCACAATGAGGAGGTTGGGGGAAGTGGGGTTGGAAACAGATTAGGCCAACTGCTGTGAAGGGCCTTGAGTAGCGTGCATTTCCATTCAGTCATCTGCCCTGTCTTCATCATACTTTCATCTCAAGTTATCAGCTCAGGCCTTCAGATCAGAACCATCCCAGAGGGATCCACCGCCCACAGGTTCTCTGAGTCACACACACATTTCTGCATAGAAAGCTGCATGCCTCCACTTTGCTTCTTAGGCATGTTCATAGGGCTTCAAGCACATACTTTCCTCCAAGGAACAGGGAACCTGCATTCTTTTATGCTCTTTTTTCCCTCCTTTTTTTAAAGCAGTGTTTTGGTTTCTCCCATAGTATTCTGAAAAGGAGGATAAATATGAAGAAGAAATTAAACTTCTGTCTGACAAACTGAAAGAGGTGAGTGTGATCACGCCCAGCTAGTCGAGGGTTCTCCTGGGGCTGGTCTTGAAGCAATCATAGTGACTCCTTTCTTATTCTCTAGGCTGAGACTCGTGCCGAATTTGCGGAGAGAACAGTGGCAAAACTGGAAAAGACAATTGATGACCTGGAAGGTATGATGTTACCATCTAATTATGTTTGCTCTGCCTCCCCCTACATGACACATCCACAGACGACTGGAGGGAGTCTGTGGCGGGGCTGTGTTGGGCTTTGTTTGCTTAGGAAAGTAAAGTGCAGGGTGATGTCACATCTGGAAGTCTGGAGCACTGGAACAGGATAGTGCAAATCAAATTCAGACTTGAGTTGCCATTTTTGAAGAAGTAAAATATCTGCTTTATTAGGTCCACATGTAAGTACAGAGACCAAATATGGCTGACTTAAAAAAATGTCTTGAGAATTTCCTTCAATTTGCTCATTTCTGAGAGACGCCTTGCATTATTTAAATGCCTTGCATTTTTATGGAAGCTTTCTCCGAGAGAGCTCCAAGCTTATCACAGTATGAGAAAACGGAAATACAGAGAAATGTAAAGACCTGAATAAAGACTCCAGTCTGCAAGTCTGGTGCCCACATATCCCAGAATTTCTTGAAGAGTTCCAACTTTAAAAAAAATTCTGTCCTGTGTTCATGAAATAACTTGGAAATTCCAGATCTTGGGGTTCAAACAAAATCTCCCAGTCTGCCTATTCCACCCAGAAAGGGTGCAAAACTCATTCCTCAGACGGTGTGTCCCAGTGTTTGGTTTGGGAAGTGAGGTTTCCATATAAGGGAAAATGCCCCATTCCAAAGTATAACCTTTGGACTGGGTGACATCACTGAAAGTCAGAAATAACCTCGGGCGGAGGGTTGGTGGGGAGCAGCTCTAGGCATTTCTCGTCACTTTTTTTTTTTGTGTGTGTGAGGAAGATCGGCCCTGAGCTAACATCTGCCAATCCTCCTTTTTTTTGCTGAGGAAGACTGGCCCTGGGCTAACATCCATGCCCATCTTCCTCCACTTTATATGGGACGCTGCCACAGCATGGCTTGCCAAGCGGTGCGTCAGTGCGCACCCGGGATCCGAACCAGCGAACCCCGGGCCGCCGCAGCGGAGCGCTGGCCCTTAACTGCTTGCGCCACCGGGCCGGCCCCTCATCACCACTCTTTTAAAGGTTCATTATGGCTAATCTCCTGCAGAACCTCAACCCACTTAGAAATCACTCCATAGATCCTTTGTTTTCTCATTTGTTTTACATAGGACACAACTTTCTCCTAGTTCATGCTTTGTTTTCTCACTTTTTTTTCTTCCTCTCATTGCTCATCTGTGGCACTCCATTCCGACCCTCGAGTTCTGTCCCCTGTACCTCTTCTTCTGAACTCTCTCCCTGGGGACCTCCGCCCTCTAGATGAGCCATATGCTCAGAAGCTCAAGTACAAGGCTATCAGCAAAGAACTGGACCATACTCTCAACGACATGACCTCTCTCTAAGAGGCAGCTGGGTGCCACCCTCTGTCCTAGCACTACTGAAGTCTGCCTTCTCACTGTGGTGCCTATACTCCTGTGGGCTTCTAGAAGCTCCAGTTTCCTGCTTCCTGGTTTGATCTTTCAAGCCGCCTTCTGCTGTGTCTGTGACTGTGTGACGGAAATAAAGACAGGCAGTCCTCTTCTTCATGCCCTCTCATATTCATTTTCTCCACTTGCCACTTTTGAGCCACAGCTGTGATGCCCTTGACCATGACTGCAACAGAAAGTGGGTGGTTCAGATGAAGAGCTGATTTCAAAAAGAAAATTATGCCCACATGATTCGTTTCTGACAACATGAAAACAAAAGCCAGTTTGGCATGAGCTCTCAAACACAGTGATAGCCAACTGTCTGCACACCAACAGCAGTTTTTCCTTAAATACAAATTGTTTTGAATGGAGACTCATCCAACCTCTTAAGCAGCTTAATAGAGTCAGCAGAACTTGCAAAAACTGGCTTGTGTCTAAAAAGAGGCTACACTTGAATGGGGCATGATCTACAGATTCAAACAGTGGCAGTGGCGTTTTGGTCTTCTTATTCCTCCTTTTGCGTTTGTTTTCTCTGTTACTATGCTCTGAGGATGGTGCCTGGGGTTCCCTATGTCTTCACTGTTTGTGGAACATCTCTCCTGCTCCCAGTCCTGGGAGGAAGTTCACCAGTGAAGATCACTTGTATACCCTGCCCTTAGAAAACAACGATACAAGGAATGAAAGAGCATCCCATTAGCAGGGAAAGGGAGTGGAAATTGCTAGAATGCCAAAGAAAGTGAGGTGATTCCGTCCTCAGTTCTAGAGTTGCCTGAGATGCTAACATCTGTCTCCCCTCATACTTGAGTTAACTATAACCAGGAACCCTGCTCTGATTTAGTAAGAACTCATAAAGTTGGCCTCTAGGTGTTAAAACATCATGCTTATAGTGACCAAAAGCTCATGGATTTTTCCAAGAGAATCCAAATTTCAAATAGTCTATCCAGTTCTCCCCTGCACCCCACCACCACGACCTCAGATTGTCCCAGAAACGCTGACATTTTGATGTCCAAGCCACATTTTCCAGGCTGGCCCTTGAGCCTGAAAAATGGCATGAAAATCTCCAATTAGCATCATCAATTTTTGGTCACTATAGCTTGTTAGACCTCATCCTGTAATTTTTTATTCAGATGGTAACACAATTCTTCTTTATATTCATTCCTCCAAAATACATCTCCCCTAAACTACCCACACCCTTCCACCACCAACCCCCCTCCCAGCCCCCCCCCCCCGGTTCCTAACTGCCATCCACACTGAACTTTGCATAAACTACCTTCCTCACACATTGCTATACATATGTCCTTGGAAAGATTACAGACTGTGTAAGGGCAAGTATTTTTGGTTTGTTCTCTGCGTATTTGTTCCTGGGATTTTTCCAGACGTATGTAGCCTCCATCCTTTGAAATAACTACAGCCCTGTCTATCCAGTCATTCCGCCTAACTAAGCATCGAAGTGGAACTTCATTTACAGAGATTAGGGCTTGGAGACCTACTGCTACCTGTTGATAGTCTATGGGCCTGTCACAGTTCTCAAGGGCAATTATTGCTTTAAGGGAAAGTTATTTTATCTCAGACCTAATAACAAAGTAGATGCCAGGGAATCCAAGTGGCAAGGTGAAAGGAGGTCAGGATTTGAAGTCGGAAGATCTGGGTTTGGATTCTAGCTCTGCCACTTTAGCTGTGCAGCCTTGAACAAGCTACCTAGCTTTTCTGCAAAATAAAGGTGATACTTCAGCGACTGCAAGGATTAAAAGAGATAATTGAGAAATTGGCTCACGTATAGTAGACACTCAGTTACCACGTGTTCATCTACACGGGACAGGCCCAGGTCACTGTTCTCTCTCCGAAGGAACCCTCCCAGATCATAGTCACCTGATTTTTAAGTGCCTCATCAAATGAAAGGTTCACTAGTTGTAGTTGAAAGGCTGCCATTTTTGCAGTCTCTTTTTTTTTCTTTCTGAAAATTTCCAAGCTGATCCTATCACATTTTATGAGGCATTTTTGCTTTCCTCCAGTATTTTAATGAGTCTTGGCCTAGTCCCTTATCGGCCATCGCTCATAGCAAACCAGTTCTCTCTCGTGCTCTGTCATGCATAGCTCTAAATGGCATCTTACTTTTTTTTTAATCTATTTCAGCAGCTCAATCACTTAATGACATACCCGTATGTAAATTTCAGCCACGTTGCATTTACTTGGGTTTGACTACATTGCTATGGACACACAAACACAATAACACAGTAATGCCTGGAATTTAAACAGCCATTCCCAGAAACTCTAAAGGAAAGATGGGTTACAGGATTATATTTTTCTACCAAAGGCTAATTAACTGGCACTAGGAGGAAAATGTATTAAGTCATCCATAACTAGGATTAATATCTTATGTTTGTGTAGCACTTCATAAGTTCTAAAGCACTTCCCATTTGTTCCTCATAATAACCCCTATACCACACATTGGTATTGTTATCCCCATTTGACACATGGGGAAACTGAGACCTAGAAAGGTTAAATGGCTTACTTTGGTGGCACAACTGGGGCTTAAATCCAGGTGTTCTGACTCTAGGATTGCCAGATTAGCAAATTAAAATTAAAATTAGCAAATTAAAATACAGAACACCCAGTTAAATCTGAAAGGGAATGAATAAATTTTTGATATATCATGCAATATTTTGGGAAATACTTATGCTAAAAGCTTATCTCTTGTTTATCTGAAATTCAAATTTATTTGTATTTTATCTTGTAACCCTATCCAAATCCCTGATTTGGTACTTGATCTCTATTATTCTATGGTACTCTGCTATAATTAAAATGCAAAGTACCTTCTCTGCTATGACTTTAATTCTGACAGTTGGGAGTTTAGAAGCCTTTTTTTTTCTTTTAATAAAGATGCTTATTAATTTATTTTTCCCCACTCTTAATCCTCACCAGAAAAACTTGCCCAGGCCAAAGAAGAGAACGTGGGCTTACATCAGACACTGGATCAGACACTAAACGAACTTAACTGTATATAACCAAGACAGAAGAATCTTGTTCCAACAGAAACTCCAGAGCTCCGTGTCTTTCTCTTCTCTTGTAAGAAGTTTGTTATTGCATCTTTGCTTTGCTGGAAATGTCAAGCAAATTATGAATACATGACCAAATATTTTGTATCAGAGAAGCTTTGAGCACCACTTAAATCTAATTCCTTCCTTTTTTTCAAATGGCACCAGCTTTTTCAGCTCCATTTTTATCCTTAAGTTGCATTTATTCCTAAGGTAGGCAGGGTATTTCGTATTGAGCATACTCTTAAGACTGAGGGCATTTGGTTCCTGGGAGAATAGACAACCCCACACTTTCAGAACACAGACTCCAATATCTAGTCATGGGTCAATTTAAAAGGCTGAAGGATGTAACCTTCTGTACCACCATTGGTCACACTACAGGAAGCAAGGGACCATCACATTAAAATGGGTGGGGATTTTCCATCCAGAGCAAAAAAAAAAAAATGGGGGGGGGGGCTATTGTGGGAAGTCATAAACCACAGATAGATTAACCTAATCATCTTCTTTTCCACACTCCACTGTGCAGAACAAACATCCTCTGAGCAGTCAGCACGAGAATGCTCAGGAAGTGGTCATAATTACCCCAGTATTTTCTGGATAGATCTTTGATGTTATGCTGTTCTATGTGTTTTATTCTAAAGTTGTTCTGAGGAGCAGATGTCTAACTCCAATAATGACCCATACTTGTCTGCTCTGATATGAGGCCATCCACTCAGCAGGAATGAATATGGTAGAATTCAGTCCTATTCGGAGAAGCCATATCAAAAAGACTGCTAGCCATCAATAATTGAGCAAGAGTGTTTTTCTGTTAACAAATACTGGGCAGAAGTAGAGAATAAAAAAAAACTGGCCTAACTTCATCTCCTCTATACTTAAGGGAATGAAAATGGAAGATTTACTTATCTAGGACTTTAATTCCTTCTTTAGGACCAAGTTAATAAAAGACCAAGACGCTCCTGATTAAACTGGATATGGAGTATTTTGTAGACAGGGGTGCACATTTTGGCTTTGTTATATTTCTGCTTTCTCAGTTAACATCTCAGAGCTGAAACATTCCACATTCCCCAGCAATGTGGGGGCCAACTCAAGTTTACAATTCTGACTAAAAATCACCCTGCTTCTAGCTTATCCAAATCCTCTGCCCCTCACTCCTATTTATTAAGCATCACACTACCCAGGAGGTACACTAGCAAACTGTGCAACTGAATAAAACCCACACTTTTCATTTAGATTCTTGCAACTGTATCATATGTAATAGTATCACTTTTTCTACATTTTGGTCAAATAAATTTTTACATAAACTACAATTTGTGTGAATTTTGGAGTGTGGGGACATACACACCATTTTGGTTCAATGAATGTTAATGGGACGGAAAGGACAGATAACTGCCAAGAACTTAGCAAATGTTATTTATTTGCTTTATACCATGACTTCATGATATAAGGATTATGATCTCTATGTTACAGGTGAGAGCACTTTGTCTCAGTAACTCAAAAGCTCCTGTTATCCCCAATCTTGCCTGGGCCAGGCTGTGCAGAGTAAGATTTTAATAGATGAGACAGGGGCAGGAAAGATGGTCCCTGTTGAGTCCATAAAGCACAAGGCCTGCCTGGGTAAGGTCTTCTGTATGTTGCATATAAAAAGGAAAGCAGTAGGAAAGCTGAAAGGTAGGCTGCATCTACAATGATGCGGGCCTGAACTTGACTGGGTTAGAAGTGGAGAGCCACTGAAGACTAATCAATAAATCAAAGAAATACATTAGGAAAATCCACTTAGCATTTTCAGGAAGGACTAGAGTAGGGGCAGACTAGAGGTTGGAAGACCAGTTAGGAAGATGTTTCAATTAATCAGGATAGTGCTTGCCATAGAATAAGAAGGAAGAAGTGATCTGAAGGAAGTAATCTTAAAACTTAGCTGACTGGATGGCAGGGAACTTAAAGAAGCAAGTGTCAAAGCGGACTGCAGTTTCACTACCTGAATTGCTTTGATATTTGCCTCAGGATCTGATCTTGGGGAAGGGGGACAGGGAATCAAAAACAAACGAAAGCCTTTAAAACATTAATGTAGTATGCAAGCAATTTTTTGTTACCAACTACAATTAAAAACATTTCCTTCATACTCAACACTTGGCTGACACTTGAGCTGGCAGATGCAGGGAACGTCAATGAATAAGGTGTAACCCCTCCCGAGTGCCCTACCATGACTAGATTGAAGTTCCTTCTCTCCCTCCTCCGCACCCCCCGGGCGGTAGTCTAATCTCAGGATACCGTTTGTCACCCTCGCGCCTCACTCCTTAACGTGTGCTCCGTGCCTGTTGACCTGGCCTCGGCTCTTGCGGCGTTCGCCACGCCGTGACGTGCGGTGGAGCGCAGCGGGCGGCGAGCGCCCGGTGGTGCGGCCTTGGTCCTGCCACCAGGCCGCGGATGGGTCCTGGGTGCGTGTTTTAGAACGGCCACACTGCAGGGTGGAATCTGGATTAAAGAATGATCCGGATTAGGGAGACCAGTGGAGAGAGGCGACCACTGATGGGAAACGGAAATACAAGACCCGGATTCGAGAGCTATTCAGAACCTCCTTCAGACCCAGGATGTGAGGGACGAAAGGAAGCGTCCAGGACTCCTCAGGATTCGCTCCGAAGCTACCTCAGGACAAGCTGGAGTGCGCAGGAGAGGGCAAGTTCCGTCGCGACATGCTGACAAACCCAAAGGCAGACGCCCAGAGGGCAGGGGGTGACGAGGCTGCGCCGCGTCCTCCGGGGACCGGCACTCACAGCGAGACGCCGAAGCCACGCCGAGAGCGGGCACGCACGTCCGCACAGCCCAGCAGAGGAGGGCCGCCAGCTAGGCACGAGCGGAGAGCCCGACCGCCTCGGCGGCACCTGAGGAGCAGCCCCAGGCCAGGGGGCGGGGAAGCCGGCCGGTAAGACGCGAGGGCACCAGCAGAGAGGGTGCCGGCCGCGCGGCCCGCAGTCCGAGGACCACCGGAGCCGGAGGGGCGCAAGGGGCACGGCGGAGGCCGGGCCGTCCTGCGGACACCCCGTGACCCACGGCGGCGCGGCCACAGCCCATCCCCGAGAAGCGGGAAGCCGTGGTGGTCGAGCCCGCGGCTCCTGGCTCGTCGGCCTGAGTTCAGAAGCCGGCTTCCCCCTTGCGGGGCCGGGGAAGGCCCGCGCCTGCCGGCCCGGCTTTCTCCCCACACACCCGGGCGGCACTTCCCGCCTCGGGGCCGGGCGCGGAGGAAACGCCCGCGCATGCGCTGTGAGGGCGACAGCGCCGGCGGCCCGGAGCCGACGCTCACAAGCGCGACTTGACTCCCTCGCGGGCTCCCAGCCCCGGCCCTCAGGCGGCTGACCGGGCGGCGGCGGCCGGGAGATTGGAGGCCGAGAGGGGCCCGGACAGCCGCTAATGCGGTCAAGGCGCGTCCTTAGGAGCCCTGCGCACCTCCGGGCGCAGCTCGCGGCGGTGAGGCCGCTCAGGCGGTGGAAGCCCGGCTATCTCGGAGTAGGTCGCCTGGCCAGCGCCGAAATGGCAGAGCTTCGACTCTGACGAGCGTCCGTACGCTCCTCTACTCTTTGGCTCCCAGCGGCCTGACGCGGAGGGCCGCAAAGCACAGGCTACAGCCGCCGTCTCTTCCGTCGCTCGTCCCGTCGCCTACTGAGACTGCGCGGGCCGTGAGGGCGGGAGCCAGAGACCCATGCGCGTGCGCCCCCTGCTGGCACCTAACGATCTCCTCAGCGCGCGTGCGCACGCGCCCCAGGCCCCGCCCGTGGGCTGCGAGCGCGCGGAGCCGTTGGCGACGCACCCCCCACCCCTCCCGTCAGGGGACGGGGCGGGGCCGCCCAGAGTCCGGGGGGCGGGGACACGGGGGTGCCACGGCCCCGCCCTGATCCCCATTTGAAGCCCCTCGACTCCTCACCGCTGGCCAATCGCAGCCCGCCCTGTACCGAGCGCCAGCCAATGAGCGGCGTGCTCGGCCCGCTTCCGGCCCGCGCCCCAGTCGCCCCTTCCCCAGCTCTGCTGGCGACCGGCGGGGCGCGGGGGCGGGCGTCAGCCGCGGTGACGCGCGACGGGCCGGGAGCCAATGGGGGGCGGGCTCCGCGCTGATGGACGGGGCCAGCGGCCAGTGGCGAGGCACTGGCCGCACTTCCCGTCGGGGAGAGAGTGTAATATGGCGAAGACCTACGATTACCTGTTCAAGCTGCTGCTGATCGGGGACTCGGGGGTGGGGAAGACCTGTGTCCTGTTCCGCTTCTCCGAGGACGCCTTCAACTCCACCTTCATCTCCACCATAGGTAGCGGGGCCGGCGAGCGGCCGGGCGCGCCCCTGACGGGCTGGGGTTGAGGGAGCGGCCGGGCCGGACTGACTGAGGGCTCTGAGAGGGTCGAGGGGGCCGGCGGGGAGAAGAGTGGCGCCTCCACCGCCGTTCGGGGGTTCCCGGGCCATGGGGAGGGCCGGGTGTCCATTTAGAGAGGCTGAGGCCTCGACCCCCAGCCCGCTTGTCTGGGAGCGTATGTCCTGGACTGGGGTCTTGGCGCCCGTCATCTCCTGTCGTCGCAGAGGCCCTCGAAGCGGTTCTTTGGGGTCCCCGTCTTAACAGAAGTGGAAACTGAGGCGCGGGGAGTTGGCCATGGGAAAAGGACCGTGACATCTGACCTTGTCGAGCATTTACTGTCTGCATATCACACTCTCCAGGCCTCTGTGTTAGCTGCTGTTAGGAGCCCATCTCACGGAGGAGTTTGAGGCTCGGGGAGGGCACGGGACTCGCCCAAGGTCACACAGTGTGCAGGTGACAAGGATGAGATTTTAACCCAGGTGTGTCTGACCCCAAAACTCAAGGTTCAACCATCCCAGAGAGATGCGAGCACTCACCCCCAGGTCAAGCACAGCTGATCCCCCTCGGAGCCAGGACTCCAACCTAGACTTCCCCTGCTCTTTCCTCTGGAATATTCAGGAGTTGAGCCCCTCCCCCTGACTCTGTTTCCCCTGTGGCTGAATTTCCTCTAGAAGGAATGGTGAGAGGGAGTCCTGACCCTTTTCCTGCCCAGCCTTCTGACCCAGTCAAGGTGACAGCAATGGCAAGTGACAGCTGCCTGCCCGTCATCCCCAAGGAGATGCCGGATTAAAGCTTCAGGGAGAAACTAAAATCAGCCAGTGCCACAGACAACCCTGACTTCCCTATCTCGAGGCCGAGGACACCGGTTGTCACTTTGCAGAACAGCCTTTCCCGCAGGGCCAGCCCACATTGTGGTTGAACAGAATTGGCTTACCACTCCTTGGTTCTGACGTCCACAAAAGTGGAGCTGACTTCCCCCCATGCCACAAAAACCGCCACTGCCTACTTGGAAAGGTTTGACCTGGGGGTAACATCAGTCACAGAGTGGCCTGTGAGCCTCACTCTGGAGTGGGGAAGTGAGACAATGGTCGCCAAGCCCAGGAGTTGATCTCAAATGGAGAAAACCTAGGGAAGGGGCTTTGCTTTACCCCCGTGTAACTTGAACCCAATCACCTTATCTCCCTGAACCCCACGATGAGCTGCTGATTCCGTCTTTGCTCTCCTCCGGAAGCGCACTTTGCAAAACACTTAGGTGCCAAATGCTGAGAAAATTAGACTGGAAATCATCATGCCTGATTTCCAGCCACCACTTGCCGTTGAACAAGCACTTTACTTCTCTGAGCCCTGTTTCTTTGGTTTAAGTGTGGTGCTTTCTGCCTTGACCAGTGCTCTGGATGGTTGAGGATCAGAACTGTACAATGACTAGGGGCTTGTCACCACTGCCAGAGGCTGTCTAGAGGAAGCAGAATGGCTCCTGTAATGACAGCAGCCCTCCCTTGGG